TTATGAGGATCAGCAGCAACAAATTGCATATGATCCTGCTATATACTCACAAATTGCTGCAGATGCAGTTAGGGCATGGAAGACTTTACAAGGACATGGAGGTTTACAAGGTCAATTATCTAAGGTAATACAAGGAGCTAATGAACCTTACGCTGAATTTGTAGATAGGCTTATTCAAAAGCTACCAGAGTTTTGGGGGATACAGAGCAAGCAATGCCATTAATTAAACAGCTAGCCTTTGAACAAGCAAATTGTTGGTGCAAGGAGGCCATTAGACCATGGAAACATGAAGATTTAAACACATATATTAAATTATGTAGAGACATTAATGAACAATGGCAAGTCTTGGCAGCTGCAGTACAACAGGCTTTAGATGCCAGGCCAAAAACATGCTACAATTGTGAACAAACAGGACATTTTAAAAGGAGTTGCCCCATAGGAGGAGGGTTTAACAAAACTAGGTATCAAAGGGATAGAATACCGGGTATTTGCCCACAATGCCGTAGATGGAGACATTGGGCTAATGAATGCCATTCTCAAACCACCATAGAGGGTACTCCGTTATCAAAAAACGGACAAGGACCAGGTGTTTACCCACAATATCATGGAGAAAAGCATCGGGCTCCATTGCCAAAAAACGGACTGGGGGGCTCAATGCTCCGGGGCCCACGACCACAAATATACGGGGCACTGGAGGAACCCAGCAACACCATCAGGGTAGTGCCCAGGACACATTATCCATTAGATCCCTCATCAGACAAACCAGAGGGAGCGCAGGGTTGGACATCTGCGCCTCCGCCAGAGCAGTACTAACTCCAGAGATGGGAGTTCAAATGATTCCCACAGGAGTAAAAGGACCTCTTCCCCAGGAACAGTAGGCTTATTGTTAGGATGCAGTTCTTCTACTCTAAAAGGACTTATGATAAGTCCTGGGGTACTTGATCCCGATTATGAAGGTGAAATAAAAATTATAGCCAGTTCTCCAAAGGGTTTATCAGTAATTTCTCCAGGAGATAGAATAGCACAGTTACTAATAATACCAGCCTGCATGATAAATTTTCCAGCCGTACTATATAAAGAGGTTCCAGGGGATTAGGCTCCACAGGTGTAGATTGGGCTATGCTGTCTTTAAATTTAGACTCTCGCCCAATGCTAAAACTAAATATTCAAGGACATGAACTTAATTGGCTACTGGATACAGGTGCAGACCTTAGCATCATCTCTCGTCAAGAATGGCCGAAACATTGGCCATTACAACAGGCCACTCAAACCCTTCGAGGCCTAGGAGTGGCAACTAATCCCCATAGAAGTGCGATGGTATTAGATTGGAAGGATCCTAAAGGATGTGAAGGAACTATACAGCCATATGTATTGGATCATCTTCCTATAAATTTATGGGGACGAGATGTCCTAGATCAATTAGGTTTGACATTAACAAATAACATCAATTCAAATGCTATTTGGCTATTATGGCTAGACAAGGTTTTAGGGAAGGAAAAAGATTAGGAGAACAAGAACAAGGTATAGCAGCACCAATACAAATAGATCAAGAAACAGATAGACATGGATTGGGTTTTCAGAAGGGGTCACTGAGACAATAAAAATTACTTGGAAATTAGAAAGACCAGTATGGGTTCCTCAGTGGCCCCTGACTAAAGAAAAGATACAAGCAGCCCATGACCTGGTCGAACAACAATTAGCGGAGGGACATAGACAACCTTCCGTATCTCCCCATAATACTCCCATTTTTGTCATCAAAAAGAAATCTGGTAAATGGAGATTATTGCAAGATTTAAGAGCCATTAATAATGAGATGGTTATTATGGGACCTGCTCAATCGGGGATTCCCCAATTGTCTGCTTTGCCAAAAATCTGGTATGTTTTAGCTATAGATATTAAAGATTGTTTTTTTTTCAATTCCACTTCATCCTGAGGATAGTCCACGTTTTGCATTTACTATCCCTGCACTGAATCATGAAGGTCCTGATCAGAGATATGAATGGAAAGTACTCCCTCAAGGGATGGCTAACAGCCCAACTATGTGTCAAATTTATGTTAACAAAGCAATCCAGCCACTTAGAAATCAAAATCCTGAACTACAAATATTTCACTATATGGATGATGTATTGTTAGCACACAAAGATAAAAACACATTGCTAGAATGTTATGCCACACTTACAAACTTATTAAAAAATTATAATCTAGAGATAGCAATAGATAAAGTACAATTAAATTTTCCAATTAGTTATTTAGGAGTTCTATTATCCTCAACCATGGTCCGTCCACCAAAAATTCAAATACGAGTAGATCAACTCAAATCACTTAACGACTTTCAAAAGTTATTAGGAGACATAAATTGGATAAGGTCTTATCTAGGCATACCAACAGGAGAGTTGGGACCTTTATTTGATATCCTAAAAGGTCCATCAGATCCAAATTCACCCCGCATGTTAACGCCTGAAGCAAGAAAGGCATTAAAAATCAGAGGTGGAGGCCCGGGTTCACCATGCCCTGCAGTTCGGAGCCCCTGGGCATGTTATTGTGACCTCTCTGTACTTTGGTTCCCTTATCTGTAAAGTAAACAGGGAAACTGTGCCTCCCGTGTGGCCGCGCGGGGATGAGTTAGTGGACATCGGTGCTTGCCACCGTGGACAGCAGGTGTTGGCCACCACCACCATCATCAGTGTGTGTCTTCAGCATGTGTATGGCATGGTGTCTGAAAGGTGGCTGGAGTTGGGCTGCGGCACCTGGAACACTGTAAAGATGCAGGCACAGGAGACACAGGCAGCTTTGAGCCCCACTCAATATAGTGTCCAGAAGAGGCACCGTGAGTCACCTGGCCCTGTAAACCCCCTTCACCAGCATTCCCCCAAGGGAGGTAAGTGCCAGGCATCCCAGAGGGTCCCAGAGCTGGGCGAAACGCAGCTGCAGCACCGCGCACAGGGCCTCAGGCTACCCGGTGAGGACAGTCTCTGTCCTGAACATTTGGAGGCCGCGGCTGGTTGGTTTGGGCTCGGTGTGTTGCTCCTGAGACCCCGAATGCTTTCTGGTGCTAGTCCTTTCCACATGGTGTTTTCCCCTCTGAAACCTTGAAGACCGCACTTTGGCCCCCGTGCATCCTAAACTCCCCAGTGACTGGACTTGCTTGTGTCTGTGTCAGACGCTGGCACCTGGAGATCCCTGGGCGCCCTCGTTCCCTGGTCACACTCTCCTGTGCTCTGCCTTCTCCGCTTGGCTCTCTGCAGCTCCTGCCTGTGGCTGCTTCCTCTCAGTGGCCTGGTCCTCTCACTTCTTGCATTTTCCATCTGTCTTTTTATTACTTTCAGGGAGGTTGTGGACGCGATCCCCCCCACCCCCGCTTTAGGTTTGTGATCGTGTTTTTTTGTCCAGGAGAGGCCGTCCTTCTCAATCCCTTCGTAGCGTGCGCTCTTTGGTCCTGAGGTGGCGTCTCTGCCCTGCTCCTGTCGGGAGCACGCTCGCTGGTGCCTGCCACTTCCTGTGACTTTATGAACAGTGAGCAGTGGTCTGCCGGGGGTCCCCTTGTTGTGGAACTTTGTGGTTCTGATCTTTCAATGCTGCACATTCAGAACTCATCTGTCCTGGCAAAAGACGATCCCACCGGCTTGATCTCAGAACCGAAGGAGGAAGGTTTTAAGGTGGACCATCCCTGTCAACTTCTGGAAACCACGAATCCAGAGCTCCCTTTAGAGTGTAGGACTGCCGCCGAAGTCATGGTCTTTCTGTGTGGTTGGCTCCTCTTGGTCCTGAGGAAATCTGAGCTTCCAGGGAGCTGCCTGAGAAGCCGGCCGGGGAGGATTGACGGTGGTCTTGGGCTCGCAGGCTGATGCCGTCGGTGAACTTGCGTTGGAAGCTGTGTACGGCACAGCAGTAAGGCCTGGCTCTGCCTGTGCATTGGCAGTCTGGGCAGGGGTAGAGCAGGGTTAAAGGACGGAGGTGTGGGGGTGGGCCCGTGAGGAGGGAGGCAGGGGCAGGCCTTGCACCCCGATCCACAGGGGTGGCGCTGAGCTTCCAGGTCCTAGCGTGCCTTCCTTGAGGTGGGCTTGCCTCCTCAGTAGCTGCTGCTGAGAACCTTGGGGACGAAGGCCATCTGGCCACTTACTCCTCAGCGGAGAGGCCACCAGGCCAGGCATGCGTTCCTTGGGTGCCTTAGACAATAGTTTCAAGCTGAGCTCGTTCATCCCCACCCACAGCAGACGGTGCTCTGCTCTTTGTATTCTGGAGGTCACCTCAGTTACCCAAGCCAGAGCCTGCCGTCCAGGCCCCATCCCCAGTCCCTGGTGCGGCCAGCTCCTCACTGCCAGCTGCTTCCTCAAGACATCCTAGGCCACATGTGCAGCTCAGCTGTTCCCTCCTCCAGGGAACAGTGCCTTTGCCCTGTTCCTGTTGGGTTTTCCTGCTGAACCTCCGCCTTGTCGGCTCCACCTTGGGCATCCCTTCTCTGGACACTCCACCACCCTCCAGGACTCCCCACGTGCCACACCGTATTTGCAAATATTTGCTGACTTGTGTCTCTTTATTAGTTGGGCATGTTTCTTGCCTCTCTGAACCTCTGTCTCTTTCTCCTGATAACGGGACCAAAATACCCACCCACCCAGCTCCCGTATCAGGAAAATTAAAGAAAAATACATGCAACTTTATTGAGGGCATGCTCAGAACACTCTGCTTTTCTCCACGTCCCTGCTTCCTGCTCTGTTGCCACACGCCTCCTGCCCCAGGCCCTGGGGCCACAGCCCTCTCAGGGCTGAGACTGCCTGTCTTTGGCCTCCAGTGACAAGCACAGCCAAAGGCTGCGGTGTGCACACACATGGTCCACGGAGTTCATGAAGCATGGTCTCCCCTCCCAAAGGGGACCATCAGTTTAATTTTGAAAAGGAAGGGCTCAGTCTCATGAGGGTCCCCTGCTGGGTACCTGAGATGTTTCTGTCAGACGCCAGGGGACCTTCCTTGATCTGCAGTGTCATCGTGAACTGGCTCAGCACATTCAGGTGTGTCCCGGGAGGCCACCGATCCTTGGCTGCCAACTGCCGCAGCCTCCCCTCTGCCACTGCACTTGTGTCTGTGCAGAGTGGAGCCTCAGAGTGGCAGTGCAGATGTCCCTGCAGTCACTTCCCGTCCTGGGACAGGCTCACGGCTCACCCAACCTCCATCGCACAGGCACAGACGTGCCCAGACGTGCCACTTTTCTCTGGTTGTTTTGACCCCACCATCCACAGGGTGAGATGACATCGACAAACAAGAGCCCGCAGCTTTCAGCAAGCTGGGGGGCAGTGCTGGGACTGAAATGGCAGTGACAACGCCATCACAGGGTGGGTGTCTTGGAAGTGGATGGGAAGGTGCCTTTGCCTCCTGAAGTTCTTGAGGCCTGAGCCCCGGAGCTGCTTTCTCACGCCACCACGGGCTTTTTCCACATGCCAACAGAATTTCTAGTTCAGTGCCTTCAGCATCGTCGGGAAAGATCTAGATGCCTGTAGCTCAAGCTAGGTGATGCGCAAGCTGTGTGTAACACGTTAGATTGGATGTATTCAAACGCCTTGTCCTTGGCTCCCTGTTGGAAGGGTGTTGCCCGGCATTCTCTGCACTGACGGTTGGCATGTTAATCATTGTGCAGATGCTAATGATTAATCTATTTCCAGAACCCTGGGTACTAGGTGAAGGTTCAGGGGGCACTGCAGCTTTTTGTTTGTTTGTCTTTTCTGAAATGTTATTTGGGCACGTGGCCCACAAATTGAACCAAAGAACTTCTAAATACGAAATGAAAATCTAAAATGCCTACAGACTCTGGCGAGGCAGTGAATCGGGTGGAAAAGGGAAAGACCTGTGTCTGGTGGCCGTCCATCGCTGCTCCTTTGACGAGACTTCCACCTTCTGTCATTAAACTGCTCTCCAAAGGCGCAGGAGACTCCCTCTAGCCAAGGGGTCCCAGAGAGGCTCCTGTAGGGTGGTGTAATGACACAGAGCAGAGCGAGCAGAGGGACTCCTGCAGTGCCCCGAGGGAGGGTGAGTGGCAGGAGGACCAGGGGAAGGACCTACCAACGCAGCTGTTCACCCGAATGTGTCATGGCAAGTGAGTTCTGGGTGGAGAGCTCCAGACCTTCCCAGCTGTTCTTTCCCTGAGGGATCTGATCCTACAGCATGTAGAACTGTTTTCACAGTCGGCCAGCATCAAGCCCCCTGCTACTTCATATATAATTTTTAAAACGTATTTTTAGTTGTAGATGGACACAGTATCCTCACTTATTTTTATGTGGTGCTGAGGATCGAACCCGGCGCCATCGTGTGCAAGGCAAGCGCTCTACCACTGAGCCACAACCCCAGCCCCTTAATATGTAATTGTTGAAAATATGTACAAAGTGCTTCTAGGTCCAGGAAAAGTCCATTTTATAAGGTGGAGTGAGGATGGGTTGGACACGGTGGGTGCCCTGAGGGAGCCAAGGGGAAGTGACTTCTCCTTAGTCTTTTTTAAAAAAATATTTTTGTTTTCAGTGGACACGATAACTTTTATCTGTGTGGGGCTGAGTATCCAACCCACTGCCTCACATGTGCGAGGCAGGTGCTGTACCACTGAGCCATAGCCTCAGCTCCCCTTAGTCTTTTATTTGTTTGTTTGTTTGTTTGTTTAGTTGTAGATGGACACAATACCTTTATTTTGTTCATTTATTTATTTTTATGTGGTGTTGAGGATCAAACTCAGGGCCTCACACATGCAAGGCAAGTGCTCCATCTCTGAGCCACAACCCCAGCCCCACTTAGTCTTTTTTTATTCCACCCAAGTGATGAAATTTCTCTCTTTTTGAGATGGGGTCTCACTAAGTTGCCCAGGCTGGACTTGAACTCATGATCCTTCTGTCTTAGCCTCCTACATAGCTGGGACTACAGGTCATAGTTTCTAAGGGAGTCAGATGAATAATTTGCTCCTCTCCTTTGCTGTGCACTTTATTGAGCATGTACTATGTGCTAGTTCCCATGCAAAGCCCAGGTCCCTGGTAAGCCAGCCTGTCAAACCCTCAGCACAGAGGGCTAACCCAGAGCACTCTGCTCTCCCCCTTGCTCTTCAAGGGTCTGACCACTGGCATGGGACCTGCTCTTCAGGGTTATACTGATTTTTTTCCCCTCTGTGGGCTTTTTTCAGCCCCTGTGACGATTTCAGGGCTGATCCATTCTGCAAATCATGGATCACTTTTCCAACAGGGAATCCCTTTGACTTTGTTCTAAATGTCCCTGTATTTTTGCTGTCTGGGGGTCTCAGGCCGTGGCAGCCATACAGACCCCAGGTGAGCGCCCACAGACCCTCACGGGGCTGCTAACAGAGCAGCCGTTCACGAGTGCTTGTTCTGTGCTAGGTGGTGTGAATAGCTGCCAGTCGCCTGCCACACAGTTGGGGCCCAGCTGGAAGTACATATGTAAAGAGGAGATGGATGTTTTTCTTGCTTTCACCAGGCCCGTGGGCTTTTCACAGTCCCCTGGAAGGGACAGGCACAAGAGGGGACACCTCCACATACACCTAGGGCTGCACCAGCATAGGCCCCAGGCCTGGGGTCCTCAGAGGAGAAGGGGCTGAGCCGTGGCTTCACCCAAGTGCTCGCCACACCGTCAACAGCTCATTTTAGCCCATTCTTCAAGCACCTGAGCCCTGGCCGTGTGCACAGCTCCTGGTGTTAAAGGCTGTCAAGGACCTTAGACCCCCGGCCTCCACCTGCACCTGCGTCTGTTGCTCTTGCGCTTCGGTCGTCTTGTGGTTTGCTCATCCTCTGCTCCACGGTTCCCAAAGGAATGTTCCATGGCTGAATCTTATCATCTGTCCCCCAGAGCACTTCTGGAGGCATGGGGCACCGTCACTGGCTGGCCTCATTTGCTGTTCTCAAGGGACCAGGCCATGGCAGCATTCTGTGGGCACTGATGGAAGTGCAGGGGACTGTCCCCTGGAATAAGCCAGGGCGTGCTGGAGCCGCAGGGCATGCAGGTTGGGGTGTGCCTCGGGACCTCTGCTATCTGAGGGACTCGTTCAGAGGAAAAGCACTCTCATCTGCTCTGGTTGGAGGAAGAAGGGCCACTGTGTTCAGTGACCTGTGCGACTGCCCGGCCCTCCTGCCACAGCTCAGGCCAAGTCCTCCGCCCCGTGTCTGTCCAGCTCATTGACAGCGGCACCAGCGTTTCCCTGAGTAGACCCTCTATGTTTTAAAAGCACTGAGAGGTCAGATCGAAAGATTCAGAACCTCCCGACTCCCCAGAGGCAGACAGAGGAAGCAGCCTGTGTTGCTGGAATGTCCCTGCCAGGACGAGGAATGTTCTGGGGGAGGGACAGCAACTCAGTGAGCATCTGCAGCTGCCGAGGAGAGCCTCTGGTAGGGTGGAATCAGGGGCGCCCCGAGCCACGCCAGCAGACTCCGCCAGCTGAAGTTCATGAAGGATGAACTTTATGGCCCATATATTGAGTCAATGACTGTGGCTTTTGAACTTTTTCTGTTCATGGTGAAAAGAGGCCACGTAGTGCTTGTTACCATTATCTTGCCTACTGCCTGAAGGAGTCTTCCATCAGATCCAAGCACAACCAAATATCCCGGAAGAGTCGAGGTGCAGCTCGGTGTGAGGGAGTGCGTCACATGCTGGGCCCTGGGCCTGACCCCGCACCACCTCCCAAATGATGATAGAAAACAGGTGCAGATCCTCAGCATGGTTTTTGTGGTCAATAAGGAAGCTTTCTAAATCCTGCAAAAACGCTAATGATTCCCTGTTATTTTTCCCCTTGTGTTACTATCACCTAGGATGATTTGTCAGAATTCCAAGCACGAGAGGTGAATTTAACAAAAATGTGTGACTTGTCCGGAGGGAGCCACAGCTTCCCAGCATCTTTGCACTTAAAGTCGTTTGTGTGAGCAAACCTGCAGTGCGGAAGTGGGGCTCCCAGGTGCACTCCTGGACCTGCGCTAGCTCTGCAAAGTGCTCGTCACTCGGTGAGAAGACCCGGGCGCACTGTGGTCATAGGTGACACATTGCCTTGTGTTGAGCCACGGCCCATGGCAGTTCACAGCTCCTGGTACCTTTTCTGTGAGGCGAGCGGTGGGCTTCCTGTGACCCTTTGCAGATGGAAAACTGTTCCAGAAGCTAAACGTCTCCCAGTCAGCCAAGGTGGATGGTTGGTGAGCCGGCTGGGCTCAGGGAGGTGGACAGAAAGCAAAGGTGGGAGTGGTGGGGTGATAGTGATGGCCAGTGACCCCCCACAAGGGCAGAGGGTGGGGGCCCAGTGCAGAATCAGCAGGGACAGCTTCCACGGCTGGAGTGGGTGCCCAGGACTGGGCCTGGGTCTGGAGGCGCCAGGAAGTGGGCTAAGAAGCCGGGGTGAGAGCCGGTGCAGACTGGCACAGGAGGACCACCGTTCTGTCGTGCGTGCACACGTGCAGTTTTCTGGCACTGTCTGGGGCTGCCCACTTAGATTTTGACGCCTCCCCAAGGTATGCGTTCCCCTGCCATCATTTTTCAGGACTCCCTGCATGAGTGACCTTTGTGGGGACGTGGAGAACATTCAGGAGCAAATGTGATGTGCCACTCAGGGACTGAGTGCTCGGCCCTCCCCGTCCCTCTGCCGGAGCCCGCGGCCTCCTCGTTCTCCCTGGAATATGCCAGCACGCCCCAGCACTTGGTGTTCTTTTTGCTGGAACATTCTCTCCCAAGAGGCCTGCACAGCTGGCTCCTTCGCCCCAGTCCCCACCGTGCCCTGGTCAGCCTGGCTTTCCTGCCTCCCCTGTGTCCACCCCTCGTCCACTCTCTCCTGTTGTCCACTAGGAAGCCCACCTCACATTGATCTGCCTCCCATCTGTGTCCCCAAGAAGGGATGCTCCAGGAGCGGGGACTGTGTCTCTGTCCACCTGTGTCCCCAGCCCTGGCTCGCTGTGGTGTGTGGGTGGGAAGCGGTGACTGGCTCTGGCTGCACAGGTGGGCCCCTCGTACCTTGGTTGTTTGAAGATCCTGTCTCAATGTGCTTCTCAAAGATGCCAACAGAGTTACTGTTCGGTTTCTGATTTCAGGTTCGTCCTCAGCGATGAACAATGTTTTCACCTGAAAACAAAACCCAGATCTCTTCTGTTAGTTTCACTGATGACTTCCTTCCTCCTACAGGTCAGAGCTGAGGGTGACCAGCTCCAGCTAGTCAACATGGTGGACACGGAGAGCCCCATCTGCCCCCTCTCTCCGCTCGAGGCTGATGGCCTGGAAAGCCCGTTATCTGAAGAATTCCTACAAGAGATGGGAAACATTCAAGACATATCTCAGTCCATCGGGGAGGACAGTTCTGGAAGCTTCAGTTTCACAGAATACCAGTATTTAGGAAGCGGTCCTGGGTCAGATGGATCCGTCATCACAGGTAAGTGTGCTGCGTCCTGGAAAGCTTGATCTAGAAATCATTTCTGTAGAGAAAGCTGTTCTCTTTCACGGGAAGTCACGCCTTTTTGAAAAGAAACCTTGGTGTGATAACGCATCACAGCCATGGGGACCAGGAAGATTTGGGGCACGTCTTGCTTGTCATATATGCCTTCTTGTAAATGCTGTGCACAGATCTAGCAAGGCTGGGAATTCAGTGAAGACAGTCGGCGGCACCTTTAAAGTTCCATGTGTATTTCTTTAAAGCAGAGATTCCTATTGTAATAAAGGTGACTCCTTTTTTAAAATATGGAAATCAGTATTAACCATATCTCTACTTTCTATGTCACATTGAGAACCACAACAGGTGTCAGGCGACACAGGTCTATGGGAGTAAGACGGGAGTCTGCTCAGGTAACCTGCAGCATCACTGGGAAGGGAGAAACCATGGGGCCATTAGTCTTGACAGGCAGCGTCTGTGCCACCCCAGGCCAGTGAGGCCACCCGCATCCTCAGTTGGAGGAAAGCTCCCTCAGGGGTGGAACTGACCGCACACGCTGCTGGGGATGAAGGGGAGTGGCTTTGGACTAGTTGGAGCAGCTTGTGGGGGTAAACAGGGTGTGGGCTTCCACCCCGAGTGTGAGATGTCGGGTCCCCAGGGAACACAGAGAGGTCCTCCCTGGCAGCCTTTGGTCTCTGCTCTTTCACCTTCGGGGACCCCTGGTGTTGGCTCCTGGATCCGAGTGTTTCCCCATCTTCTCTCATTTCTCCGGCTCCTGGAGGGTCTTCAGTGGGGCGAGACAGAGAGTACTGGACTTGGAGGGGGGGGGTTGTGGCTCAGTGGTAGAGCACTTGCCTCGCATGTGCGAGACCCTGGGTTCGATCCTCAGCACCACATAAAAATACATAAGTGAAATAAAGGTATTGTGTCCAGCTACAACTAGAAAATAAATATTTTTTTAAAAAATTAAGAAAAGGAACTTAGAAATAATGATCACTGGAGTGCTGGACACAGGCCCTTGGTTTCTGGACTGGCCTTTAGGGCAGTGGCTGCGTGAGACCCACTCTATCTCCCTCCCCAACAGTTCTTAAAGATGATTTCTTATTCGTGAATTAGATTTTTCATCTTTGTATCTGACCTGATCCTTTGGACAGTATTTCTGCAGTTATGTAAGCTGCTCATGTAGAAGGACTGACTGTATGTAAAATATATTCACTCCATACTTTACTTAAAAGACCAGGTGGGGAGCTGGCTCACTCAGCCGGTATCTTTTTCCTCCTTCTTCTCCCCAGCTTTACTGACATATAATTGACTATGACAAACTGCATACATTTAAAGTATAAAATTTGTTGTGTGCGTGCACACACACACACACCCCTTTGAAATTATCATCGCAATCAAAGTAGTGACATTGTCCGTCACCCCAAAGTTTACTGGCCCTCCTTCGTAGCTCCTCTTCCCCCACTCCCTGCCTCCCTCCTGTGCTGAGCAACCACGGATCCCTCACTCGCGGTTAGTCTGTCTTTTCTGGAATTTTATATAAATGAGATCTTACTTTGCAGTTGGACTTCTCTTGCTTAGCAGAATTCCTTTGAGATCCATCTGCACTGTGCACGTGTCAGAACTTCGTTCTTTTTTACCCGTTGCATGGATCGACCACAACTTATTAGTCCAAGCACCTGCTGGTGAAGGTTGGGTCATGTCCAGATTGCGGCCATTGCAGGTGGAGCTGCTGTGAACACACGAGGCTCTGTGTGGACATCTGCTTTCGTTTCTCTTTGGTAAATACCTAGGAACAGAATGGCTGCGACTTGTGTTTGTGTAACTTTTTAAGAAACTGCCAAGACATTTTCTGAAGTGCTCTGCCTTTCCTCCACACCTCGTGGACGGTAGATGGAGTCAGCCTTTTATTTATTTATTTTTTTAAATGTTTATTTATTTTTTATTTTTCCGGCAGACACAACATCTTTGTTAGTATGTGGTGCTGAGGGTCGAACCCGGGCCGCACGCATGCCAGGCGAGCGCGCTACCGCTTGAGCTACATCCCCAGCCCTGGAGTCAGCCTTTTAAATTTGAGCCACCCTGAGAGCTGTGAAATGGCATCTCATTGTGGTACTTTCAGTGTGCATTTCTCAGATGACAAATGATACTAACATCTTTTCCTGTGCTTCTTTGTTCTCTGTTTTATTTGGTGAAGTTCCTGTTCAAATATTTTCCCCATTTTTTAGTTGGTTGTTTCTTTTCTCACTATTGACTATTGGGAGTTTATTTGCTTTATCAGATATGGGATTTACAAATGTCCCCCAGTTTGTGGTGTGTCTTTTCTTTCTGTTAGCTGGACCTTTCAAAAGGCAGTACTGAGCCAGGCGCAGTGGCACATGCCTGTAATCCTAGGAGGCTGGGGCAGGAGGATTGCGAGTTCAAAGCTTCAGAAAAAGCGAGGTACTAAGCTACTCAGTGAGACCCCATCTCTAAATAAAATACAAAATAGGGCTGGGCATGTGGCTCAGTGGTCAAGTGTCCCTGAGTTTAATCCCCAGTACCTTAAAGAAAAAAAAATCCGTGCTGTTTCTGTTGAAGTCCAATTTATTTTCTTTCAGATTTTATTTCCAGTATTTTCTTTCATGGGTCGTGTTTTTTGTGTCACAGCTAAGAAATATGCCTGACCCACGGTCACATCTTAAGGCTGAGATCCATTGACTTAATTTTTGCATGTGGATCAAACTATCTTTCCTTCCTCCCTCCCTCCCTCCCTCCCTCCCTCCTTCCTTCATTCCCTCCTTTCTTCCTTCCCTCCTTCCTTCCTCCTCCTTCCTTCCTTTCCTTCCTTCATTCCCTCCTTCCTTCCTTCCCTCTTTCCTTCCTTTCTTCCTTCCTTCCCTCTTTCCTTCCTTTCTTCCTTCCCTCCTTCCTTCCTTCCCTCCTTCCCTCCTTCCTTCCTTCCTTCCTTCCCTCCTTCCTTCCTTCCTTCCTTCCCTCCTTCCTCCTTCCTTCCTTCCCTCCTTCCTTCCTTCATTCCTTGCTTGCTTGCTTTCTTCCTTCCCTCCTTCATTCCTTCCCTCCTTCCTTCCTTCCTCCTTCCTTCCTTCCTTCCCTCCTTCCGTCCTTCCCTCCTTCCCTCCCTCCTTCCCTCCTTCCCTCCTTCCTTCCTTCCTTCCCTCTTTCCTTCCTTTCTTCCTTCCCTCCCTCCTTCCTTCCTTCCCTCCTTCCTTCC